AAACGCGAAAAACAAGACAACAGATTTACGTAGTTCACCAATAAATTGGCTACGTCCACGGGAAGAGAGGGAGCAGTTTTATTATGGAGAGAGAAAAACAGAATTACAAAATAGGGTTTGCCATAGCGTCTATATATATATAGTGCTAAGACCCCCGTCCTTTCTGTTTGTAACGGGTCCGATTCAAGGCATTCAACACTTTGGCTGCTGTAAAAATTGACTAAGAGTTTGTACTGAGAATGCTATATCAGGTCTTGTTAAAGTCAAATACAATAATCTTCCAATGACTCTTTGATACTGTCCTACATCTTCTAACATGTCATCATCTTCCTTTCCAGTAAGCTTATCTAGCTCAATTGCTGTCAACTTCTCATTCATTTCTAATGGTGTCCACGCAGGTTTAGCTCCCACTAATCCTGTTTCTGAGATTATCTCTAATGCGTATTTTCTTTGGTTGATTAATATTCCTTTTTTTGGCCTGCTAAACTCCATACCAAGAAAATATTTCAAATTTCCTAAATCTTTGATCTTGAATGCTTTGTGTAATTCTTCCTTGGTCCTTTTAATCAACTCCAAATCATTCCCTGTTACTAACATATCATCCACATAAATAAGGATGATCACAGTGCTTTTACCTTCTCTTTTTATAAACAATGAATGATCCAATTTGCTCTGTTGAAATTGAGAATGCAGCAAAGCTTATGTTAATTTCACATTCCATTGTCTACTTGCTTGCTTGAGCCCATACAAGGATTTAACAAGTCTACAAACTATGCCAGACTCCCCCTGACTTGGAAAACCTTGTGGCAACTGCATATATACTTCATCATGAAGATCTCCTTGAAGAAATGCATTATAGACATCAAGTTGATGAATATGCCAGTCATGTTGAGCAGCTATAGATAATACAGTTCTCACAGTAGCAATTTTGACATCTGGAGAAAAAGTCTCATTGTAATCAAGACCTTCCCTTTGATTATACCCTTTTGCCACAAGACGAGCCTTAAATCTCTCTATGTCACCATTGGCCTGAAGTTTAACTTTATATACCCATTTACAACCTATTGGATGTTTCCCTGGAGGCAAAGGGACTAAGTCCCAAGTATGATTATCCTGCAAGGCTTGTATCTCAGCATTCATAGCATCTATCCAACGAGGGTCTTGTGAAGCCTGTTGATAGGAAGATGGTTCAACCACAGTGTTCAACATACTCAAAAAACTATAGTGTGAAGCTGACAAGCCTCTATAGGACATATAATCTTGAATGGGATATTGCACAGAATTCCCAGATGGCGCAGTCACATAATCTGTCATCCAGAGAGGTCTAGAGGACACTCTTTCAGACCTTCTTGGAGGATTAGAGGAACTATCAATAGAAGTTATAACAGGAACCTCTACTGAAGCAACCTCTACTGAAGTAGGCAATGTGCATCAGAATATGAATCAGATCCAAGAGGAGGTGAAGTAGGACAAACATGTATATCAGGATTGATATCATAATAGGATGAATCACATGAATAATCATAATCAAAAGAACAATCATCACCAGATGCAGAAGAATGTTGAAAAGGAAATGTGAACTCTCTGAACACCACATCTCTATTTACAAAAAAACTTGTGTTTTGCTATGTCGAAAAGGATATAACCTTTAGAGATAGATGAATACCCCATGAAAACATCTTGTACAGCTCTACTTGCAAAATTATCACCTTTTGGTAAAACACTTGCATAACACAAACATCCAAGTACCCTAAGATGATCTAAACGAGGCTTTTTCTTGAACAACATTTCATAAGGAGATTTTCCTTTTAATACAACTGATGGCAGCCTATTAATAATATATGCAGATGTAAGAACACAATTACCCCAAAAATTATTAGGAATATGACCTTGAAACTTTAAAGCTCTTGCAAACTCTAACAAGTGTCTATGCTTCCTCTCAGCAACTCCATTCTGCTGAGGGATATATGCACAAGTTTTCTGATGAACAATCCCCAAATCTTTAAACCATTCAGCTAAATCAAAATTCACGAACTCCCCACCATTGTCTGATCTCACAGTTTGAATCTCATCCTTGAATTGTGTTTGTAGCATCTTGAAGAAAGATCTTAAAATAGGCAATACATCATTTATAAACTTCATAAGAAATACCCACGTGACACGAGTGAAATCATCAACAACAGTAAGGAAGTATTTATTTCCATCAAAAGTAGGAATGTTATGAGGTCCCTATACATCCATATGCAGCAGTTGGAAAGCTTTACATGATTTTGAATCACTATTTGGAAAAGCTAATCTGGTATGTCTAGCTAAGGGGCACACATTACAATTCTCAACAACATCTTTACAATCACCTAATTTGCAACCAAGTATCTCCTTCATAGTTGTGCTGGAAGCATGTCCCAGTCTTTTATGCCACAGTAACAAGTCTGTTTTATTCAGACGATCAGCACACTCCATTTTTGTGATTGTATTACCTGCAACTGCTCTTTTTGTGGAATTCTTAAAGTTCATGAGATAAAGTCCATCCTTCTCTCTACCAATCCCCTTCACTTTCCCAGTGGAAAGGTCCTGGAACAAACAGAAATCAGGATAAAAGGATACAAAACAACTCAATTCCTTAGTTAGTTTTGACACTGACAGAAGGTTGTACTTAAAATCTGGAATAAAAAACACATTGTTGATTTAATCTGTATTTGCAAGCTTGTATTTCCCTATGTGTGAAACTAAAGTCACTCCTCCATTTGGCAAATAAACCTTCTCACATTTCTCTGGATTAATAATCCTAACATCAGACAAATTATCCAAATATGCAGTCATATGATTGGATGCCCCTGTATCAATTATCCATTTCTCTTGTTCTATATTAGCCATAAAAGAATGGATCATACCTGCCATATTCACCATGTTGGCATGAGATTTTTCTTCATCTAGCAATTTTACTATCTGATCATACTGTCCATTGTTAAATGTTGGTGCTCTCTGCATATTCCTATCATTAGAACCATTCTCTGTCATCTCTGCATCTCTCTCTGTATGAACATTATATGCTGTATTTTCTTGTCCTACTTTCTTCTTGTTTTTGAAATAATTTTGTGGATATCCTATTAGTCGATAACAATTGAGTTTCGTATGTCCCTTCATATGACAATGATCACATTGCATTTCCCAATTTCTTTGTGATTTCTGATAACCATCTTTCTTACTAGCAAGAAGTGCAGCTACTTCATTTCCTTGTCCCATGATAGATGTGCTTGCCATAGTTCTTTGGCTTTCCCTTTCAATAAGCATAGAATAGGCTTTGTTAACACTAGGTGTAGGAATAGTCATTAGAATTTGGCTCCTCGCATGATCATATGATTCATTAAGTCCCATTAAGAATTGTATTGGCTTTTGACTCTCCATATGTGCAACAAAATCCTTGGATTTAGGGCAATCACAAGGATTGGGAATCATACTATCAAATTCGACCCATAAATCTCGAAGTTTTGAGAAATATACTGAAATGTTATCTGAACCTTGCATAATTGTTGCTATTCCTTTGTGCAACTGATAGATCTTTGATGCATTGACCTTGTCGAAATGCTCTCTTAGATCTTCCCAGACTGATCTGGCATCTTTGGCATATAATATTCCTGTAAGTAACTCCTTTGCTACTGAACTCATAATCCAACCCACTACGATTGCATTGCAACGATTCCATTGATGACTAAGCTCTTTATCAAAGCTGTCCACACTCAAGGTACCATCGATCAATCCCAACTTGTTCTTTCCTAACAACTGGATTCGCATCGCCCGACTCCATAATGAGTAGTTTTCTGACCATGTCAATCGTATTGAGATGATAGCAACTCCAGTAGTGTCTGAAGGATGAAGATAAAGTGGATGATTATGATCAATGTCAGTTTTAGACATTGTTAAAGATCAAATCAACAGAAAATCTCAACAAAATTACAGAAATCTACAAATATTATGCAGGATCTAACTCATAATCATGAGTTTGTGCTCTGATACCATGTTGAATTATTGAAAATCTGTAACCAAATCTATGAAGATGAAGAGAATAGAAGATGAAGAAGATGGAGAAGATGAAGAAGACAAAAGCTCATTGAGAGAATTGTGTACTGTATATTCCAGAAAATAAGTTACAATATTGGTTGTTACAACATATTTATAATGTGACTAATTATATCTAACTAGCTATCATGTGCAAGTTAAGATGCTTATAACTAATTTCTAACTAACTTGATAAAACACTAACTAACTCACTAATTGTATTTACTTCAACCTATTCCCATTTCATCAATGTTTATTTGTTTGAATTTGCTGCATATTAATCGAAGACTTTTCCAAAACAATCTCTCTATCTCCACGAGATAGTAATAAGGTTTGCATATATTTTATCTTTCCCAGACTCTATTCATAGGAACTTGTTATAATTATATTTCTAGAATTAATTATAAGAAGGTTTCTTTTATTTTTATTTTTTCACCATATTGTCATCATTGCCTTCCTATAATGTCTCAACACAAAATAATGAATGTGAGGATAAGAGAATTTAGGGGATTGCAAAAAAAAAAGAAAAAAGACTCACTATCATTGAATTAGCAAAGCACAAAATAAGTTTTTCTGATTTAGAGATCATGGTTTTAAATACTTTTTGTCATCATTTCAAATATATTTATTTAAAACTTTGGGGAGAAATATAATTGTGAAAGGAAATAAATTAAATGATCACTTCATTTATAATGGATGGCAGCTAAGGCATTTTGTTTTCCACATCTTTTATGGCTTCATCAACTTGGTGATAAGTGATAACCATCATTCATATCCTCATAATATTCTTTTATCAATATCACAGCTCAAAATAATAATTAAAAAAATAAAATAAAATTGAAACCATATAGAGATACTATGACATTATACCAGGTTTAGCCTATTTTTGTATAAAATCATGCACCTTTTATGTACTAGATTGACACATTATGTATAGCACTATAATTTTGTATGATATTGCATATTAAGTAAACTGTTTTAACAATCAAAAAACAGAGAGTTATCCCAACATCAACTATAACATTGTAGACAAAATAAAAAAGCAAATGAGAAAGAAGAGTTATAGCTGCAGATAGCAAATACGTAACTTTATTTCTTAACTAACTCCACCAAGCAAGGCCACTCCACTCTCTCGTGGCCTTTCCATAAACATGATGTTGAAATCTCTAAACCAAGTTCAAATCACCTCACCTTGTGTACCGTCTCCCTGTCCTACAAGCCATCTGCAATGCCTAAATTTCCTGGCTTAACTGCAAATAAAACAAAGGAGAAGCAATACACAGTTAATTAACGAGAAAGAAAACACTCAAGACATTAATTTAAAACATCTCTGGGAAAAAAACTAGTAATCAGATGAACTGAGACTACAAATGCATTGATACTCTCAGAAACTTATTTCTTCTTAAGGCATAAAACTTGACTATAGGTCGCATCTATGTCCTGTAGACACTTAAACTTGCATATAAAATTGATCAAATATACACACATATAGGATGCAAAATTCCACAAATGATGCCAGGTATAAAGCGTGTTTGTCTACTTGTGCCTTTCTTGTAACGTTTTTCTATTTCAGTATTTCAGCCTTTTATTGCTATCCAACAGAAAGTGCTTATACTAATTAATTAGTAAAAACTGAACTAGGGATGGGTGACGATGTAAGAAATTGATTACCGCTGATATATGGACATGAAGTCTGTCCTCTCCTGTGAAATCTACTATCTGTTTCTTAATCTCATCGGCTGAATCTGCAAGCTGACGCTTAATATAAGTTAAATGAATGGTCTTTAAAGTGTCTATATCCCCAAATGCACAAGGGATCTCCGTAAGCTCCTCACAATGTGCTAGTATTAATTCCTCAAGCTTGGGAAAAGTTTCCCTATCAACTTCCCATTCTGATAATTTGTTAAATGACAAACTCAAAGTCTTGAGACATTGATACATGTCCTCACTTGCATCCCACTTATCCTCCATGAAATTAGCGTAAATAATCGCCAGAATTTCAAGCTGAGGCAATGCCGCGATTGCTGACAACAAAGTAGGTGTGACGGTAAAAAAATGCAACCGCAACTCTTTCAAGCTGGTAGGGAAGTGATATTCAATAATGGGATAACCATAATAATTCCATTGGTTGTTGTATACTGCAATGAGCGATTGAAGTTTATTAAGGACATCTAACTTGGGAAACCAATCGTCGTGTGTAGGAGGACACTTGGGTACCATGATGGTGCAATCAAGGTGCTCAAGATTTGGGAACTTCTCTAGAGCATCATTAGTTCCTTGGGAATATGAGATATCAACTTTGGATAAAGTTGTAAGCTTTGAATTCTCACCTTCCAATAGTCTACTTTGGATATTGTCCATGTCCTCTTTATCAAAGAAAGAACTACGGTCAATGCTCACGTGTTTCAGCTTTGACAGTTTGAATAATATTGGCAGTAAAACAATGGTGGAAAATTCCGCATTGATCAGCAAAGTTTCCAGATTCTGGAGGTTCAACCACGACAATGGGATAGCTTTTACATCACGAGTCCAAATTTTTAAGAACCTCAAATGAAATAGGGACCCTATTTCTTCCACTAAATGATGTTGCAGAAGAATGTCATCCAGTTGCAACACTCTAACAAGTCTCATGTGTCTTGTGTGAAACATATACCTGGAGTTATCCAGCGAACTGCTCACTTTCAAAGATATGAGATGCTTACTACCAGCAGAACTGCTCTCTTTCAAAGATATGAGATGCTTACTACCAGCAGAACACTTATTAGAATTAAACAAGACACATTTTTTGTCGTCAGTATGAATGGTTAGTCGACGGTGCAAGAAATCAGAAGCATGAAATGGATCACCTGAATTGATTAACTTGAAAAACTTTTCCTTTCCCGCTTTTACTGAACAAAAATCATGCACAACATCATGCACATAGCAAGCTCTGATCATTACAGACGTCCAATAACTCCCAGAGGGGATATGATCCACCATTATCAGACCACTGGAAATTAAAGCATCCAAGTAACTTTCAGTTACTTCCTCTAAACTACACTTGGATGGAATATCATGATCCACCAATCCTTCAGCCATCCACAACTGCATCAAT